GGGGATGTGCCTGCAACCAAGGTACATGCCCTTGACCGAAATCAAACCTGGGACCCTTCAGTCCATAGGCCGATGCTCTATCCACTGAGCCAAACTGGTTAGGGCTATAATACATATTGTGTATACATATACATACATACATATATACCCTGCTGCATGCATTCATCCACATAATCTAATCTAAACCACTATGGGACTGTGAACTCGACCTCCTGTCTCCTTCTGTTGGGTTCTAATTCTCATCTTTCTGTTTGTGCATTGCTGCAGACCCTCCTCTCAGAGTGAAATGGATCCCATCCAGTTTGCACTGTTTAGTTTGGGAAATGGAACTGTAAATATTTGTTCAGTCAGTCATTTATTCAACCACACATTCATTCAACATACAGTAATCAAGCACCCACAATAGAATGCCATATTGAATCCGATGGAAGAGAAAAGATGGGTAAAGAAAGGAGGGGTTAAAAAAAGAAGAAAAAAAGAAAGGAGGGGTTCAGAGCTTTAGAAACTTAAAATCCAGCTGGATGTACAATGCTTAACATGAAACAAAACGTTCCCAAATGCACAATTCTCATCAGAAGAACAGCAAATTAGAGCAGAAAGCTAAAGCCTCGCAGTGTACACCAATGCTGCTGTTTCAGCAGAATGAGCAGAAGGAAGAAGCCACTGTGGTTAAAAGAAACTGCTGGCTTACGGACTTTTTGAAATTACAATTTGCATGCTCTTCTAACAGTGTTAGTTCTGCTTAGATGGCAGAGTGGCTTTCATGAAAATTTGAGCTCAGCCTTGCTTTAAGCCTGTTTAAAAAAAAAGAGGTCAGGTAAAATGACTGTAGTAACTGCACCAAGCTAGTTAAAAACCACAGTGTCTTTCAGATGAAACAAAAAAACCACATACTGGAAATTTTTTGCCCGCTAAAAACCCCTCGAAGTTGTCTCAGAAACACACATACAGGCAATTTCCTCTTTTCTCTTTAGGACTGTCCTCAAAGGAAACAGCTTCCCAAATCTGCAGGGTTAGACCAGTGGGGCAGTTTAGCAGCCGGGGTTAATTCTGAATTGAGCAGTAAGTGCTCCCTGAGTAGTAAAGTAGCCCATGGTCAGGGAGAACCTGGGCGTGCCAGGGTCTGACTAAACTGCAGGTGCCTTGAAAAGGAGTTATTCTGATTCACCTGAGTCTACACAAACTCATAAGGCAACTAGGAACAAGGTCCCACTAACAGCCGGTTGTTGTTTTCTGTCGATTTGGTTTTAGATTGTGGCAAAAGGGGAAGATGAGAACTGAGACAAGGCAAAATAATAAGGGAAGTAACTTATTTCTTAAACTCCCTAATGTGGTTATATTTGGGATCAGGGACTTAATCCTTATGTAGCTCTTCCAAATCTCTTCCTATAGTGCTGCAACTTATAACTGAACTCTACACTGAATATTCTTATCGTTCAGTACATTTTAAACAACCTTGGAACAGAAATGAGTAATGACTGAATACTTTTTTGTAAAAACCCCTGCCCTATGTTTCGTTAGAATGTCTACATAAAAGCTGAGTAACTTCATCAGTGTTCATTTCACATCAGGTAAGGGCAGAAAACAGGAGTCTTTTTGTCCTGTATGTTGATAAACATGGTCTATGTGTGTAATCAATGATATTTTTAATTCACAAATCAAATGTATACTGAATGTACCCAGGGAGGAATTTATATACGAATTTCGTGAAGAACAGCAAGTATTAAGATAATGAAGGGAGAGTATTAGTGTGTACAGAGGAGAGATATGATCACCTATTTCTCGGTGGTATAAAATATGATAAATGAACCTCAAAAATAGAGTGATACAGGTACAGGAGTCCCCCCTTATCCACAGAGGAGATGTTCCAAAACCCCCCGTGGATGCATGAAACCACAGATAGCACCGAACCCTGTGTAAAGTGTTTTTTCCTACATGTACATATTTATGCTAAAGTATCATTTATAAATTAAGCACAATAAGAAATTGACAATAACTAATAATAAAATAGAACCATCATGACAATATAATAATAAACGTTATATGAATGTTGTCTGTCTCGCAAAACATTTTATTGTACTGTACTCACCTTTCCACTTAAAGGAAGTATTTTACAGCAGTTATATGAATGTTGTCTGTCTCACAAAACATTTTATTGTACTCACCTTTCCACTTAAAGGAAGTATTTTACAGCTTCTCTGGAATTGTCAGCTTCACTACTCTTGCACTTTGAACCATTACTAAGTAAAATAAGGGTTCCTTGAACATAAGCTCTGTGATATAGCTACAGTCCATCTGATAACCAATTTGGTTACTAAGTGAATAACAGGGAGGAGTGTACACAGCATGGAGATGAAGGATGTTGGGATGAGTCACGTCCTGGCCTGCCTGAGACTCGCACAATTTTATCACAATACTCAGAATGGCACATAATTTAAGCTTATGAATTGTGGAATTTTCCATTTATTTTCAAACCACAGTTCTCTCTGAGCAACAAACCACAGGAAGCTAAACTGAGGATGAGAAGGACTACTGTATTCATGTTCTATTGAAGTTAGACAATGCTTTTCTAGGAATTGGTTCTGTTTTTCCTTGTACGCTTCTGTGCCAAAATTCAAGAGGAAATACTAATTGTCTTCATTTGAAAACATTTGCAAGGTGAACCTGGCATGCTGGATGTGAACCTGAGAGAGCTGTGCCTCAGTCTCATAAGCTTGCAGTTCCTAGTTTTCATATTTCCCAAATCATAGAAGAACTGCCATTCCTGGGGGATCCTTACTTCTCACATAATGCTCCATTTTATTCTATTTGCTTATTCATTGCTGCTGGATGAAATCAGGCAGTCACATGATGTACTCTATCTTGAAAATCCTTTAAGCTGATGCTTCAAATTCTATAAATTATGTCCAGATTTAATATTAATTCTCTAAGTTTGTCTGAATGCTAGAAAAGTCCTCTCCTTGTATTAAAGAGGTGATATTATAAACAAGTGGGGAAAGGACAGACTATTAATAAATGATGTTAAAAATATCAGTGGTGCCCAGCAGGCACGGCTCAGTGGTTGAGTGTCAACCTATGAACCAGGAAGTCACGGTTCAATTCCCAGTCAGGGCACATGCCCGGGTTGTGGGCTCAACCCCCAGTGTGGGGCATGCAGGAGGCAACTGATCAATGATTCTCCCTTATCATTGATGTTTCTATCTCTCTCTCCCTCTCCCTTCCTCTCTGAAATTAGTAAAAATATATTTGGCCCTAGCCAGTTTGGCTCAGCAGATAGAGCATCGGCCTGCGGACCAAAGGATCACGGGTTCGATTTCGATCAAGGGCACATACCTTGATTGCAGGCTCCTCCCTGACCCCAGGCCTGGTCAGGGCGCATGCAGGAGGCAAGCAATTGATGTGTTTCTCTCAGACTGATATTTCTTTCTGTCTTTCCCTCTCTCTTCCATTCTCTCTAAAAATCAATGGAAAAATATCCTTGGGTGAGGATTTTTTTAAAAAGCCTTACAAATAAAAAATAATAAAAATATATTTTAAAAAATACATCAGTGGTGACTATCTAAGAGCAGTAGGGTTTCAGGTGACTTTAAATATATTTCTTCATATTTTAAATAATTGCTTGAATTTTAATAATGATCATGAATTGTTTATATAATCAGAAAGTTATTTCCATTATAAAATTTACAGTATTGGAAAAAATGGTTTCCTATAAATAAGTAAATAAAATGAGATCTTTACCTATTACTCTCTTTACAAATGTAATAGAACGGATAAAGCCTAAAATATATGAAGCAAACTTTTACTAATAGAAGGAAATATAGAGATTATCTTCATGACCTTGAGTTCAGCAGAATTTCTTAAAACAAGGCAGAAAGCGCATGCAACATAAATGGCAAGGTTTATAAATTTGCTTATAATTTAAAAAAAATTTTTTATTGATTTCAGAGTGGAAGAGAGAGATAGAAACATCATTGATGAGAGAGAATCATTGATCGGCTGCCCCCTGATAGGGATCAACCCTGCAACCCAGGCATGTGCCCTTGACTGGAATTAAACCTGGGACCCTTCAGTCCACAGGCCAACGCTCCATCTCCTGGGCCAAACAGGCTAGGGCTGCTTATAAATTTTAAATGACACCAAAATTAATGCTTAACTTTAAATTTTGATTTAAAAACAAGCCACAGATGAGAATATATTTGTAATATGTATTAAGTATCTAAACTACAAGAGTTAATATTACTAAGCAATAAAACAAAGCCCCAAATTTTTTAAAAATGGGCAAAAATATGAAGAGAAAGGGGAAACAAAATTCACAAAAATATGCTCCTCATTATACTTAGAGGAGTACAAATTAAAGTAGATACCACCTTATATCCCTCTGATTATCTACAAAATGCTTAACCTGAAAATATGCAGAATAGATACAGAAAATATGAACTTGTATGGAGTAAAAACAAATGCAACTATTTTTTTAAAATATATTTTATTGATTTTTTTACAGAGAGGAAGGGAGAGAGATAGAGAGTCAGAAACATCGATGAGAGAGAAACATCGAGAAACATCGATCAGCTGCCTCCTGCACACCCCCTACTGGGGATGTGCCCCCAACCAAGGTACATGCCCTTGACCGGAATTGAACCTGGGACCTTTCAGTCTGCAGGCCGACGCTCCATCCACTGAGCCAAACCAGTCAGGGCTAAATGCAACTATTTTGATATCAATGCACAATACAATAAAACTAAAAATTTATGTTCCTCATGACCTTGAAAGTCCTCATCTGGAGAAGCTTGCAAATATGTGCACAGGAGACAGCTACACAAAGTTGGGAACAATCTAAAATCCATTAGAAGGGGGGATGAAAAATAAAGGACATCATATCCCCAAGGTCATTAAAAGAGCAGTTTTAAAAAATGAACTAAGTCTCTATGTAAATTAACATTATTAATATAGATCACAAAAACATACCATTGGAAGGGAAAAAACAGATTGCAGAAATATTTAAACACTATGATACAAATTATTTTAAATTTAAAAAACACTATTGAAAATATGCAGAATAGATGCATATTTAAATTAAATTATTTAATTTTTTA